ACAGACATTGCCAATAATGTGCAATTTTTTTTAGTGACTATTTTAGTGCTGGGAAAAAACTCCTCAGCACAGGTACAGAATGAGTAGCAGCTGTGCAAGAGTCACCCACAACTACTCACCAATATGTTTCAATTCTGTTATAGAGGGACCACCTCCGAGGGTGAAAGTGGAATTCAGCCCTCTGCCTCAGCTGAGACTACCAACAAGTGGACCAATTAATGCAAAAGTAACAGTGCTCTTTTTTTTTTTTTTTTTTAAACGAACATCTGATCACCAGAAGGAAGTGGTCTGAGACACACCAAACTAATTTCACACAGGTCACCTAAGAGCTGCCAGATGGTAACAACGTTCAGCCATTATTGATCTGGGCTGGATTTGAAGTGATGATCTACAGTAAGAGGCTCTAACAAAAGGTCTTAAAACAAGATGTAAGAACATCGCAGGAAGGAATGCCAGAGGAAGTTATACAGCCAATCTATTTAACAAGCATATTATACTCCGTCCCTCACACTGACCCTGCATCCTAAATCCCCAAGGACTTCACAAACAAATATTTCCAAGGGGCCATATATCTAATCATATCATCTTATGCAATTATTGAAGGCAGACAAACCAAAGAAAAACAAATGTGGGGCAAAAAATGGTAATTAATGCAAAAGAGGTGGCAGTAGCCCAGAGCTGAACGACTGAAGAGGACATTACATTAATGATGGACTCCACTTAGAGACACGATTAGAACACTGCTCCCTTAAAAGGAACTGCACTTAGAACAAAAATGTAGCACTTGCAAAAACATAAGGAGCAGAACAAAAATTGGTTCCATGACTGACACACATAAGATAGTCTAGGAAAAAAACCCTATTTTCTTGAAGTGTGTAAACCCTTGATTGTTCTATAAAAACTCCTAAGATTTTTAGTGAACCACACAACTAGCATCTAATATTTTTACAGCAATCCACCTACCTCCCTGAGATTTTAACCGTACACTTCAAATGTTCAGATGTGTTACCACAAAATTTAATTTGCATTTAATCATTCCAAGGCCATGGAAATGTGATGCTTACACATTTATTGTAGACAGAAAATCTTGAGATTAGGGTCATATTATATTCTGCATAGCAGCTGTTCAGTTACTATGTTAGTTAATTCCCTGTTTAGTCCACACCCAACTGCTGACAAGGACAAGATAGCAAAATAACCACCTCCTGCAAAGTGTCCCAACAAGTCTAAAGTTCCTGAACACATTTTTAGAAAAATAAAAGGATTCTTTTCATCTCCAGATTTCCCGTCTCAGAAGTGGCTCTGGGAAACTTCATGTCAAATGCACTGACAGTGTGGCTACATGAACTCTCTCACAGGACAACCGTGCAGCAGGAGCTATACTCTATCTGCTGTCCATCTCTGGAGCCCTTTCTTACTATTTCACGCCTCTCCCTAGGAGGTACTGAATCATGGTGGTACCCAAGTACTATCCTGGCACCCAGTGAGATCCAAATGAAACAAGTCAGCAATTCAGGCTAAGCACACTGTTGCTCTAACTCAATGGTTTTCATCCTGGGGTCTGCAGACCATGTCTACGATTTCCAAAGGGGGCCACACCTTCACTTGAAACTTTTTGGGGGTCCGCAAATGAAAAAGGTTGAAAACCATTGCTTTAACTCATTAATATTATCTTCTAGATCACTTATGTTATCGAATCAGAAAATAGAGAAGGGCGTTATTACACTATTTAAGATACCATCTTGATGGGATGTCATAAATGTCAACTCTTTAGTATCCTTCTCTTCCATAAAAGGGCCAGGATGACTTATCCACTGTACATTTGTAAATCTTCAATGCTGTTTTCAGATATCTCAGTTACTTCTTTAATGTCACTTGGAACTAATTTTAACACTTCAGTATACAGTGGGTAGTGCTGGGTAAAAACAACTGGGAGTCAGATCGATACCAGACAGCCCTTTCACTGGATGGTCTGTCTCTGATTTGCATTAGTCACTAGATACTACCCAGCCCTCTTGGTTTACCGCATCCCAAGGGAAGCAGAATGAGCACTTGTTTGGGGGCAATTAAATTAGGACTGGGCAAAGCATACAAAACTGCCAAACTCTGATGGCAAGAAAAATCTGACTTCAGCTGTTAGGTGCGTTAGAGCTGGTTTCTAAAGTATCCTTAAGCAAGTCTTCAGCAGCAGCTGGAAACGTCTAATCTAACTTTTAGCAATATGGTGGGAATAGAGGAAAGAATCAAGGGTCAGGAAACAGGCAATGTTTTAAGCACAGTCTATTAACCTCTTTATCCACGAACTCTTTGCGAAGGGACCACGCAAGGCTCTGAAGGATTAACAGCTCCTAAATATTCCAGATACCTCCAGAAATAATTAATCTGCCATACATCATTGAATGCTGCTGATTTTAATGGATAGCAGAGGAACAGGTGCTGTGGAGCAGCAGCAGTCAGAGCCCAGAACTTCAAAAGTCAACAAATTAAGACTTAAAATGCCCCCGGGTTATCAGCGCTGTGATTTGGGGACAGTAAAGCAGTTCAGACTCACTCCGTTATCTTCGGATCCAAGTTCCCGATCCACAGCCGATGGCCCTCCTGCAGAGAGCCCTCCGAGAGGATGGACGCATTCTCCAAAGGCAGGGTTTTGATTTCCGCCGCCATCAATCTCTGCATGCGGGAAGTGAAATATTGAACCAGTCAGTGACTGCTGAGGCAGCCCGGGGCGCAGAAAGGCCGCTCCGGGGGGGTGAGTGACCCCATGACACGTGGCGGGGGCTGTTTAGTTAAGCGGTGACACAGAAGGCCGGGGGGGGAGGAGGGGAGCCCTGGGCAGGGGACCCGGTGACCCAACCAGAGACTGACCCGGACTCGTAGGGGGGCGCGGGGGGGCGATGGGACGCGGGGGGGGGGGGGG